CAGGGCGATGATGGTGCAGGCGGCCGCCACACCCAGGACGATGCCCAGGATGCCCAGGGCCTTGGAAATGTAGAAGCCCTTGGCCATGGTGAGGGTGGGAGTTCGGGAGGCTCGGGCAGAACAGGGCACCCTGGGGCCAGGCTTATATCCCAGAGGGGAGGAGCCCACAGCCCTCAAACTGGGCAAAAATTAACCAGGGCTCAGACAGGCAAAGGTCACTGGACTGGGCAGGGGCGAACTCTGCCAGGCTCCGGAGAGGAGACCCAGGAACCGTGCACCTGCTGGAAGCAAACAGGATCCAGTTACAGGCTGCTGGCTGCCTGGAGCCTCCCGCACACACACCCTTCTCTCCCTCTCCCGCCTCCTGAAGGGTAGTGGGAGCAGCGCCATCTGCGTGCAAGCTGAGATGGTGGGGGACAGGAGAAGGGGGATCGAGGTGAGAGTGAGGGAGGGACTTCCCAGGCACAAGAGGTGGGAGATGCAGAAAAGGGGAGAGTGGGTTTCCGAGTCGGGAATACACCGGGCCTCCGCTGCGGCCGGAGCTGGAAGGCTGCCCGGTCCCCTGCATTCCTCCAGAGCAGGCAGGCTCCCAGGTGCGCGCCCCCCCCTACCCCCCCCCCAACGCTTTTTCCTTTTTCCTCAATTCTCAGCTCACCGAGTAGAATGAAATAAGTTGTTTTGCCCTTTTTTTTGTCCTTCGGTTAATCCTCACCCGAGGATCTTTTTCCAGTGATTTTTAGGAAGAGAAAGGGAGAGACAGAGAGGTTGAGAAACACATCAATTGGTTGCCTCCTGCAAGGGTTTGTGGGGAGCCTGCAACCCAGGTGTGTGTACTTGACCGGAATCGAACCTGGGACCCTTTGGTCCGCAGGCTGATGCTCTATCCACTGAGCCAAACCAGCTAGGGCTTTCTTGTTTTTTTTTTTTTTTTTTTTAATATATTTTATTGATTTTTACAGAAAGGAAGGGAGAGGGATAGAGAGTTAGAAACATCGATGAGAGAGAAACATCCACCAGCTGCCTCCTGCACACCTCGCACTGGGGATGTGCCCGCAACCCAGGTACATGCCCTTGACCGGAATCGAACCTGGGACCCTTCAGTCCGCAGGCTGACGCTCTATCCACTGAACTAAACGGGCTAGGGCTGTCTTGTCTTTTTAAGACAGGAGGCTGGTGGAGGCTTAATCTTGACCGGCCATGACCTTGGGTGGTGGCTTTATCTTTCGGAAACCTCTTTCCTCATAATAGTACTTACCTCTCTTGTTCACAGAACAGATTTAATGAGACAAGATATTGAACACCACAGAGCAGAACCGAAAAGTCACCCCCTCCTTTCTTACCGAGGGCTCAGCCACCGCCTCTTTTCCTATCCTTGGCAGGAATGAGAACAGTACTCATCATTCTCAATACAAAGGCAAAACCGCCCCAGCCGGTTTGGCTCAGAGGAAAGTGATGTCCATTATTACCCTTCCCATCCACCAGCCTAGCTCCTCCAGCCTTGACACCGCCTGGCCCTCCCCCCACAGCCAGTACCCCCCTCCCCTGATCTCACCACGCCCGGGGTCAAAGTCTGTCTTATTTTTAAAAAAATATATTTTATTGATTTTTTACAGAGAGGAAGGGAGAGGGATAGAGAGTTAGAAACATCAATGAGAGAGAAACATCGATCAGCTGCCTCCTGCACACTCCCCACTGGGAATGTGCCCGCAACCAAGGTACATGCCCTTGACCGGAATCGAACCTGGGACCCTTGAGTCCGCAGACCGACGCTCTATCCACTGAGTCAAACCAGTCAGGGCGCCTCTCTCATTATTTATGTGGACACTGCTGTGCCCTCACAGACTCCCCACATCCCACTTCCACTCAGCCCCCCTCAAACCTCTTCACCAAACAAACTGGATCATTACTTTCTACTGAAACAGGCAGAATAAAATGTTCCCCAAAACTGCTCCATCGAGTCAAGCCCACCAGAACGACGGCAGTTGTCAATAGGCAGCTGTAAAACCATGGTCGAGAAACTACCATGACATCTTTTAAGTTTGTTTTTCTGATCTAAAGCCAAGTCATCGCCAGCCGGGTGTGGCTCAGCGATTGAATGTCAACCCAGGAACCAAGAGGTCACTGATTGGATCCCTGGTCAGGGCCTCTGCCCAGGTTGTGGGCTCGATCCCAAGTAGGGAGCATGCAGGAAGCAGCCAATTCTCTCTCATCATTGATGTTTCTATCTCTCTCTCCCTCTCCCTTCCTCTCTAAAATCAATAAAAATATGTTTTTTAAAAAAGAAAATGACTTCGAGTTTTCTCACTGCACAGAATATAGTCAAACACGGCTGCAGCTAAATATTTTACCCTTTGTTCTCCCTGGGTGATCTACAATAATAATCTGCTTCATGTTGATATTTACTGTTGTGTTGCTGACAATTACCTGAAAGAGAAGTTGGGGTGCTTCACTGGGCTGGAAAAAGTTTAGCTACATCAGAAAGCAGGTCTAATTAAGCAAGTTTATTCTATATCTATAAAAGGCTAAGTTGACTAGCGCATGTGCAATACATAGAAAGCTCTCACTGGTGCCAATCGCACGCGTGTGTTTCCATCTGTCATTGTCGATCGCGAATTTGGTTGACACTTCTATTATAGAGAAAGGGCGAATAGCGATATTAAAATATTTCTTCTAATTAATTTCCTTTCAATGTGCATGCATTCATGCACAGGCCACTAGTATATACATACTTTAAAAGCCAAGCCATCAATCACATAGGGACCAATTCAATCTCTGGTTGGGAAAGTCCCTTCCCACATCCCATAGTAAGTGTTGCACAATCCCAGAATGCTTTACTTTGCTGACATATACCCAGATCTCAGTGTTCCAAAAAGAAAAAGCCTACTAACTCACTCCTTGTTAACCCCAACAACTTCCATGTTCCCAAGCCATAAAAACCCCAAGGTCCCACATCTGGGACACAGAACCTGGGACCCTATCTTGGTGTTCTCACCCTCTGCAGAGCTCCAGTAAATCTGCCTTCGCTTTTATCAGTGTCCCTGGTCCAAATTCTTGTATAGCAGGAGACAAGAATCCAAAGTTGTTGGTAACACTGCTTGAGGCCTTCCTTTTGGTCTTGGAATCTAAACCAGATCTAAAGGGACCCAAATTCGAGTGCTCTCAGCCTGCCCACTGCACAGCCTTATTCTCACCACACTCCCCTCTTGGTTCTCTGGCCTTCACCCAGCTCCCTCACCACAGGACCTTTGCACACGCTGTTTCCTCTGCCTGGGTCATCTTCTCTCCCTTCTCACCCTGGTTAGTTCCTATCCATCCTTCCGGTCTTTCTCAGAGAAGATGCCTGACCTCCCTGACCAGGTCAAGCTCCTATTTAATAGGACCTATTAGCTCCATTAGCGCCACACACCTCTTCTTCAAAGCCCTGCATCTCAGCGAGTTTTCGATTTGATCTGTGCAGTTGATGACTCGAGCCCTGCCTATTTCCCCAATGGACTGGAGGCCCCGAGAGAGCAGGGGGCCTTGGCTGCTTCTGCTTACCAACACTTGGCACATACCTGGCACAATAGTAGGGGCTCAACACATACTTGTTCAGTGAACGCACACATGGCGAATGAATAAGTGAGGGAGTCAATTCCAGGAGGCTCACTTGATTAAATCTTTCTAGCCTAGCCGTGGGCAAACTACGGCCCGCAGGCCGGATCCGGCCCGTTTGAAATGAATAAAACTAAAAAAAAAAAAAAAAAAGACCGTACCCTTTTATGTAATGATGTTTACTTTGAATTTATATTAGTTCACACAAACACTCCATCCATGCTTTTGTTCCGGCCCTCCGGTCCAGTTTAAGAACCCATTGTGGCCCTTGAGTCAAAAAGTTTGCCCACCCCTGGGATAGCCCATCTCCACTCCTGTCCCTGCCCCCACGCTTGCCCTGGGAGAATGGCCTGCCCCTTCCGCCAGTCCACTTCCATTCACAGAGAGCAGGCAGGACCCTTGTTGGGGCTGGATGCCCCTCAGGACTCCCGTCTGTCTGCCCCATCAGCTTGCCAGCTCCTGGAGGACCTCATTCACCTGCCCCTCGCTGAGCCTGCACGGAGGCCTGGTCAGTGACCAATGTGTGAACCGACGCAGAGATGAGTTCATTCCGGCATAACCGCAAGAGTGGATGGCTGCCACCCGCATCTGGCCAGCGGGGGCCAGGGTCTGAGGCAGGGGTGGGCAAACTTTTTGACTCGAGGGCCACAATGGTTTCTTAAACTGGACCGGAGGGCCTGAACAAAAGCATGGATGGAGTGTTTGTGTGAGCTAATATAAATTCAAAGTAAACATCCTTACATAAAAGGGTACGGTCTTTTTTTCCAATAGTTTTATTCATTTCTAACGGGCCGGAGCCGGCCCATGGGCCGTAGTTTGCCCACGGCTGGTCTGAGGGTTGGGTCTGCAGGGGAATACTGGGTGCCCATCTTCCAGAGGGAGGGTGCTCCAAGCTCTCAGCATTTCCCTTTTTCGCTCAAGACCTGTTCCCAGGGCCCTGGTCTGGGCAGTGTGGACCTCCCCCCGCAGTAACTGGCAGCCACCCCATCAGGCCCGGGCTGATGGCCAAGGGACACGAGTGGGAAGCCAAGTGCCCAGGGCAGGGCTGCAACTTGGGCACGGTGACAGAGGGAGTGGCGACACCCCAGGGTGACGTAGCGTGTGCTCCCAGTTCCCGCCATCGGGCTAGCATTTGCCAAGGAAGGCCATGCGTGCGGTACCCTTGAAGACCGGCCCCCAGGACCCGTGCCGCCCCCCTGAATTGAACCTCACCGTGCGCCTGGCTGGCCTGCAGCCCCCTCCCACCCCTGGAGGGAAAGACCCACAAATCCAAATCCGCTGGGCCTAATCCCTTCTCCAAACAAAGAAGGAGGCGCAGCCTGGCCCACCGTCGGCTTTTCCTGTTTGCTTTGGACCCAGACCACGGGCCCAGCTGGCTGGGATCTTCACTCCCTGGGAAAGGGCCTCTGGTCTTCAAAGTGGGCGCAGCAGGCAGCCCACTGGCCTGTAATGTGAGGTCCCTGCTCTGGGCACCAGGCCGGCCCAGCCGGGGGCGCCCCACTGCTGCGGTACCGGTACCGCTCAGGGCCCCCTCCTAGGTCCCCGCTGTGGTCCGCCCGGCCATCTCCACCTCCCACCAGACACACCTTGGCCGGGACCTTCCTCTCCCGCTCCAGCCCGCTCTCCGGCTCGCTGCCCGCAGGATGAAGCCTCCGCTCTGGCTTGAGCCTCAAGACCTTCTGTGAACTTG